GGGGGGAGGGAATCCTCTCTCAGCTACTAAGAGTGCTTGTCTTGGCATCCAGAACCAGGATGGGAAAGCTGACCTCTGGAGGCCCTGAGGCTGATAGCGAGCTTAAAAGGAAGTCTTTGAAACGTCAGATAATTCCAGAGGAAGGGAGAAGTAAAAGGCATGTGAAGGAGTGAAGTGGACACTGTGTCCCTGTAAGACCGGCATTCTGTTACAAGCTATGTTAAGTGTTTCTGGATCTTGAGGAAATTTGGATTGAGAGGACTTAACACAATGATAAATGCACTCATTTCAGTGACCTGAATGATGAGGCTAACAGACTAGGCCTTGTCTTCTCAGAGCAGGTGTGTGCTTCTGGTTGAGTGTTCATAGTGCAGTTTTTTAATATACCTTCATCGTCTTAAGGGCTTAAAATGCCAAGAGTAATAACAGAATCAAATAACCAATATTGTTTTTGTGAGGCACAACTATCTAGTAGGGCTTACCCAATTAGTTTTGGTTGTTGTACCTTCAGGAGTAAATATTTAAAAAAGTTTCAAAATGAATCGACGTAGGGCTGGGAGATGTGGCTGAAAATGCAAGCGTTTCGTATCAGTCTATCGATAATTGATTTGATTTTTGTTTTACCTAACTGAAATGAGGACCAGAAGAAAAAGGCTGATTAATGAACTGCTGATGCGACCTTTCCTCTTCTATCCACAATTTCCTCTTGAGATGCTGCTTAGTATGAACATGCAGCGCAGTTCTGGATCAGAGTTCTGTGAAATTATCAACATTCTATTGGACATATTTCTATTGATTTTAATCATGCATCTATCGTGATATATATTATTGCTTTATTGCCCAGCCGTAAATCAACATCAAATCGTTTTCCATTAAGAGACACCTAAACAATAAAGTATTCCACTTAAACAATATAAATCACMCCACTTGCACTTTTTTCTTTGGCCTTCAACACCAACAGATTTCGACCACCCAGTGGATCAAACCATGAGCAGAAAAACCAAACAAAAAAACACAGGATCAGGAAAACAGACCCCCCCACCCCCCCCCCCCCACCCCACCCCAACACACACACTCTTGATTGTAGCCATAATCACTTTAAGACCCTTGCAGCTTGGGGAGGGAAATCAGGGATCAGCCTCCAGCAGTCTACCCATGGCCCCTGAAAACACACTAGGAGGTGTTGATTTACCCCCACCCAGACCCTTTGGGACATCAAGGCTGCGTGTGTCTGGTTTAGGAGGTCAGGAGCAGCAGCAGCAGMGGCATGACTCAGTCAGAGGAGCCAYAAGGTCTCCCGTTTGTTCCAAAACYGTTAAGCTGCAGAGGAGATGTCCTCCAGATGTCGRTGCATGAGGCGTGATCAACACCTGCATCTCCTGGGAACACCTGGCAAATGAAGAAACTTGGACCACCCTACAGAGGAATGATGGAGTAGCAGGGTCAGGAGATCCAGACACACGCTGAGAGCTGCATACGCTTTCCTAGAGTTCTGTCAGTCCTCTTCAATCATTCACAAACAGGCTGGACGGAGTGCAGGTGGCACGGCTGTAGGGGGTCCATTTGTTCCCCTCCCCATTGGAAAACCAGTTCTTCTGACTTCAACGAGGAACCCATATCCTGCGCACTTTGAAGTTGGGGAAAGCGACTCAAATTGTGCGTAGAATGAGCACATGCGCCATATAAAAGCCCACAGCTCTGCTTGGTAGGAGCAGAACAGTGGGGCATTGTGGTTCAGGCAGAGCCACACACACCGAAGCCTGATGGAAAATGAAAACACGGCCTGTTTATCACGTCCTCAAGAACGTTTAGGTCGAAATATGCCGGCCATGAGAGTCAACATGTTTGCTCTCATGCTGTTTCACACAATCATATCTGTTTCTCCTCTTATCTCGGTGCTATCCCAAATGTTTTGAAGCAAAAAGAACAGGACCTGCTAMTAGTCCAGCTGAGACCTTGTGCCAAATCAGTCCTGCCAGACGTCTTGCCATGACTCTGAGGATAACAAAGCTGTTGAACATGACTCCTCATGGACATGGGAGCTGATCCAAGCAGCAGAAGACACTGGTGGTCGCAACAATGAACTGATCATTATCTCCTGCTGAAAGATGGAGCGATAATGTTTTTCCCCTATTTGTGTTTTGTTGTTTTTTTTACCATCAGCAAAATATAACATTAACGATTACAGGGATGAAACTCTCAGAAAGTAATCACTAGATGTACATCTACAACTGATTGACTTTGGTTGCCACAGCTAAGCAATTTAGCAAACATCATACATAAATGGCTGAAACAGCCAATTTTACAGATATAGAGCTCAAAATTAGATAATAATAATAATAATAATAATAATAATAATAATAATAATAATAATAATAATAATAATAATAATAATAATAATATCAAAACAGCTATAATTCTATATTTTTTAAACTCTGGTATGAAAAGCAGCGGGCGATATGCATTCCTTCAAGCAATGATGCCACTCCTAATCCCGTCTAAAGAACTGGTGCCCATCCTGGTCAGCGTTTTTAATAAACTTATCCATGAGAGTTGCGCTCACCTTTACACACTCCAGTTTCCGGGATGGTGGCAGCTCCTGTGGTGTTGACAGAGGCGCAGGTCAGTCCCAGGGCGCAGTATCCGTGCGTCCAGTCCGGCCCGCCGCACGTTTCCCACTCCAGCCGCGCGCACTGATCGCAGCATCCGCACGGATCCCTCGCCAAACCCCGGCCACCCTCGCAGGCACCGCGCGGGGCTTTGACCGGGCAAGTCCGGAGGTTACAAGGGGTGCACTCGTGCGCCAGGAGCGCGCGCACCAGAAAGAGGACAATCAGAGAAACATCGGAGCCGTGGCCGAACATGTTTGCCGGACTCCCTCCTTTCTTTTTCTTCTTCTTCTACTTCTTCTTCTTCTTAGGGAAGTTTTCCAAAGAACTGATCCGCTTCTGTCACATGAACGAGACGCGCCCCCAAAGTTAGTCGCTTCTGGGGAAAGTTTCGTTTCACAAGCGGCGGCTGCTGCTTCACTGAAAAGGCACCACGAGACAAGGCAGAAGTGTGCGCAGCGAGCGGTAGCGTTGTCCAGAAGACAGGTAGACGCGAGCGCCTCATCCGATCAGATCCAAGGACTAATCCAAGACCAAGGCGTCCGCTGGGGGCTCGCTGCTCCTGTCAAGTTGCATACAAAACGTGTGAGTCTTAAATTGACATCCAGGCATATAAAAATTAGCGCTGCGACCCTCCCCCACGTGACTGACACAAGCACCGACCAGTCACAGGGAGGGAAAGGAGGGAGGATGTGAACTGATTTATCCCCCTGGCTGACAGCTTTCCTCTGTTGCGCAATAATTAAACTTTGAAGGCTGAGGTCCCCCCCTGTACGTTTGGCTCTGTGTTTACAGGGATGTTGATCATGTTTTSTTACAGAGACTTCATTATCCCCCCTCCGGCGAAGGCGGGTTGAGAATGTTTTGCCCTCTTTTTGTGTTCGTTCTCTTGTCTGTTAGCAAAATATCTCATGAACCACAGGGTGTATTTTGATAAAACATTCAGACAGCAATCATTGGACGCACATTTACAACTGATTACCTTTTGAGCTCAATCAAATTTAAAGATTTTCGCCACAACCAGGTGACATCATGAAAGACAAAAATGGTTATAACTAATTAAGTTTTACAGATATTGATCTGAAATTTAGTGTGGTTGTAACTGAACACTATCCATAATAAGTGCTTTAAGCGTGACGAATTACGTTACATATATGCTTAAAAACTTGGCACAAACTGTTGAAGTCATTCTTGGTTGTCTGTTAGCAAAATATCTCATGAACCACTGGGTGTATCTCGATGAAACTTGCAGGAAGTAATCACTAATGGCACATTTACAACCCGTTAGACTTTAGAGTCAATTCATTTCAAGATAGCTGTCACAGCTGATCGACGTTAGCAAACACAGGAATGGCTGTAATGCAGCGTACTTACAGATTTATGAGATACAATTTAGTGTGGTAGTAGCTGAGAGTCRTTCACAACATTGTAAGCTCAAAAAAATCTTGCACTCTTGCATGAATTGCTCATTTTCGTATTTTGAAAGTTTGATCTTTTTAATTTCTGACATGAGATGATCTAAAACAAATATGAAATGAGGTGAGTGATACAGAGACTCAATTTAGAGARAGGATGCTGTCTGTCAAAGATATCCGGTTTTTATCAATAAATCAGTTCACAGGTTTCTCAGCTGTGCTCGTTGTGTTTGTGTGTACAGATGGCTGTGGGAAGGTGAAAGGCCATGTCATATTTGTCGAAGCCGTGTTTGTCTGCTCACACTGACAAATGGATGGTCTGTGTGCGTGTGTGGGCAGAGGGCACAGCCGGAGGCTGACTGTCACACATCGACCCTTCTCTTCTCTGCTGCGGCGTTTCCCAGTGCAGAGCATTGATGGATCGCTCCTCAAAAACACGGATTTTTTTTTTCCTCCGCCGTGTCAGCACACCACCTCCTTCATTTGCAACATCTGCCTGGAGCCAGCCGCTCCAACACAAACACAACATCCAGGAAAGCTGGCCCCCTCAGCACGCRTAATCAGGCCCTCTGCAACACAAATCAGCTCTTGTCCTGTGGCCTCGCCCTCCACCCTCCCTCCCTCTCTGCATCCTCTGCTCGAAGCCCTCATTAAACGGGTCGACTTGCTGACTGCTTGCTGGACACACAACAGATCGGACCAAGACCTTGAAGAACCCAGGTCTCCGAGCACTTACGGAGAGCAGGGTCAGACGCCAGCACTCACAGGAGCCCCCTTTTCTTCTGGACGATGGGGGTTGGATTTGGCCTGCTGGAAAGGTCACAACGACACATCTTTCACAATAAAAACACTTTGATCATAGAAGGCTTATTTCCCTCTCAGAGGGGCAAATCAGCCATACAAACTCAAAAACACCCTCATTAGTCTCATTCTGAGCGTGGGCTGTGGGTCAAATGTTGCATGAGTGTGGTATTTGGCTTTTTTTTTGTCATCAAACGCTACAGTGAACTTATCCATCATTTTGACTTTATTTATGCAGAAAAAATGCCAATTTTATTGTATCTAATGCAAATCCCTGCCCAATCTGCAACCCTGGGCGTTGTTAGACTCCTAATGGAGCAAGCAGGAGGAAAAGGTGAGGCAGCAAAGGGTGTTTTTCTTGAATAAGTGTTATGTGTGCGGTCTAATGATGTTCTGAGTCACGGATCCCAGAGAAAACACAAGTCATCAGCTCTCCGACTTGGCAGACTCGTGTTGGAACGACAGATATCAGAGCCTTCTTGCGACATCCTGACCACATCAGGATGAGGTCTCAGGGTGTGGGGGATCAGTTCCACAGATCAGCCGACCTCTCGTTCTGCCACACACTTGTGTTGTCGCTGCCTGGGGATGCATTGGGCTGCTGGTGAGGATGTGTTTCCCGGGGTGTAGATAGGTGTGAATGATGGTTTTGTGATGATACAGGGCTGAGCGAGGAGTGTTGAACGCGTGTCGAGTGCACAGCGTGCAGCTCACCTGATTACAAGTCTGCTATCCGGGCGCTGGACTCGTTCCTCAGTGGACTCCTTATCTCTGCATGAGCTCACAGTGCAGGGCATAGCTACACTGTTTTTTTTTTTTTTATCCAGTCCAATGGGTGGGGTGGGGGGCAGTGGGTGAGAAGTAGTGGCAAATGGCAAAGCATACAGACAGCTGAACGAGTTTCAAAGCAATTCAAACATCCACTAAATAGCGGAAGTACGGCACATTTAGCGTGGAGACTAAGCAACACATACACTAATGAATGGCTTGCTTGAAGCTCGGCACAGATGAGATCATCTTGTTTTTTTATATAAAAGCAAGGGAAAAACCTCGAAACAAAACAAAAAGTTATTAACAAGCAGAAAGCTTCTCGTAAATTTGGCAATAATAATAATAATAATAATAATATGTGCAAAACCACCATAAACAACCATACAACGTATTGAATCAGTACCAAATGTCGTTGCTTCTCTTTTCCACTACTGCCGTTAAAAAGAACTCACAAGTGCTTTGGACTTTCATTTGGGATTTGTTCGGATTATAACAAAACAAAGAGAAACTCTCTTACTTGTAAAGCATTGGAGCTGATTTGAGGTAAAGTTTATAATTAAAAAATAAATAAATAAATTCTCTTTCATTTCTGTTTTCTTGCTCATTTTATCTCTGAGTGTTTCTCTTTTGTCCCGCCTGTTGTCAGTATGTGAGGTCTGGTCCAGTTGCTGTTTTTCTTGCAAGGACTATAATAATATGCTTTGACACCATCAGGATCTCCTGCGGTCTTTGTCTCTGAGCAGCAGCGTTTCATTGCAGAACTACACAGACTGTTGCYATAAAGTGTTACTTGAGCTTTTAAAGAGGTCACCCAGGTCAAATAGTCCTGAGGGTTCCATAAGCACCTTTCAGCTTTGTAGTTTTTGGAAAGGCTGCTTTGCTTTAAGAGGACATAAATTCAAGGAGCGGTATACATCATGCACGTCAACGTGTAGTGTGGGTGAGACGCTGCATCGTCTATTTAGCATACTGACAAAAATATGGGGTGATGAACCTTCAACGAGGAAGTCAAACAAATAAAAAATAAATTCTGATTTGCTCACTGGTTTTTCAACACTTTGATTCAAGCTAAAATTCCTCTGTAGAAAATGAATGTAGCAACATTAAAAAATGTAACCAATAACATGAAATCTACAGATTTATGTTTGCTTGTATTTTGGTAAAAATCTCAACATGTACTGGATGAACTGGTCCTGAAACAAACTTTATAGTTCTTTTTTAATGTGCCCTCATGCCTTTTTTCAGTTTCAGACTAACCTCGTAAAAATGGTATTTGTTACTTTTTTTACTTTTAAATTATAACCATGAAATCCATCTCCTCTAAGAATGAACTCTAACAGGGTATTGTATGGTTTTGGTATAGCGCTGTTGTTCTTCAAGTTCTCGGAGAAACTTTTTTTTTTTTAAAGATTTACGCATTTTCTAAATTTTGTGACAGCTTCAAAACATGTTTAAGATGAAAAACGTAATAAAAGCCAATGGAAGGCCAATATTGCTCAGGACTAAAGGAAAAGGTGGAGTGGCAATATTTTTGCTCATGTCTGTTTTGTTTGTCTGTGTTGTTAGCAAAATATCTCCTGAACCACAGAGTGGATTTTAATTAGACTTACAGAAAGCAATCATCAGATGCACATTTACAACTGTTTGGTTTCTGAGCTCAATCCATTTCAAGAAGGTTGACACAGCTGGATGACTCACTAATCAATCACTGAATGGATTTTAATGAGAGTTTCAGAAAATAATCTTTGAACATCAGCAACCAGGAGTGTAACTTAATATCTCTCATGCATATTTTTTTAAATTCCTTTCCACTCCAGGCTTTTTAATCGGCCCCATCCCTGCAGTGCGCCCTGGCTAAGAATATAATAAGTAGTATATAACATGTTAAACTGGCAAACATTGAATTTATTAAAGCTCATTACCAATAAGATGTTCTAAAGCCTGTAACACATTTAAGAATTAGTTCAACACGTGCTGAACAAGTTGTAATGACACCGTGAGGTTTGTGGGTTTGATTGGCGCCCTGACTAACTGATGATTCAGCCCCTGACCCTTCCTCCAATTATGACTCAGATCCTCTAGTTCCAGCTCAGATCTGGGCCTCACTTTCCCTGCTGCGCCCTCTTTTACCAGGAGATCCTGTGACCTGGTGGCGCAAGCTGCCACCGGCTTGTTTGACAGTTTAAAGTGGGATACTCGCTCACCCCCGCCGAGCTGCGRCAGACCCCTAAGTGGCCCTCTCAGGAGTTTTAATCTGCAAATCTCTGTGATGACACAGAATTCCTGTGGGTTGGAGACAAAAAAAGAGCCCCTTGTGTCTCGTTCCCATAACACCCGCCTGGTGTAATCTTCTGTTTCATACATGAAAACACTGAGACAGATGAACTGCTGAGCCTCAAACTCTCTGCAGTAACAGAGATGAAGGGCTGGGCTGGAAGTCAGTCTCATGTATGAGTGGATATTATGAACAAAGGGGATGACTTAAGTCATTTCTAGACATTTTACATTAAATATTAACACCAGCAACAAAACCWAAAGAGATTTAACCATGTATTGGTTCAAGTTGTTTCTGATTTTCATCATGGGGAGGGTGCGGATGCACGCGTAAAAGGCGCCAGATTTACAGGCAGACCTCCAGCTGC